GCTGGACCCTCTCCAATGCTTCCACATCCTTTTTGTAGTGGGGGGCCCAGAACTGGACACAATACTCCAGATGTGGCCTCACCAAAGCCGAATAAAGGGGAATGATGACATCTCTGGATCTGCTGGCAATGCTCCTCTTAATGCAACCTAATATGCCATTAGCCTTCTTGGCTACAGGGGCACACTGTTGACTCATATCTAGCTTCTCATCCACTGTAACCCCCAGGTCTTTTTCTGCAGAACTACTACTTAACCGGTTGGTCCCCAGCTTGTAACTATGCTTGGGATTCTTCCGTCCCGTGCAGGACTCTACACTTGTCCTTGTTGAACCTCATCAGATTTCTTGTGGCCCAATCCTCCAATTTGTCTAAGTCATTCTGTACCCTATCTCTGCCCTTAAGCATATCTACCTCTCCCCCCAGCTTAGTGTCATCCGCAAACTTGCTGAGGGTGCAATCCATCCCCTCATCCAGATCATTAATAAAGATATTGAACAAAACCGGTCCTAGAACCGAACCTTGGGGCACTCCGCTAGAAACCGACCGCCATCCTGACATCGAGCCATTGATCACTACCCACTGGGCCCGGCGTTCTAGCCATCTTTCTATCCATCTTACCGTCCATTTATCCAATCCACAATCCCTTAACTTGCTGGCAAGAATATTGTGGGAGACCGTATCAAAAGCCTTGCTAAAGTCAAGGTATATAACATCCACTGACTTCCCCATGTCCACCGAGCCAGTTACCTCATCATAGAAGCTAATCAGATTGGTCAGGCACGACTTGCCCTTTGTGAATCCATGCTGACTATTCCTAATCACTTTCCTCTCATCCAAGTGCCTCAATATGGATTCCTTAAGGATCCCTTTCATGATTTTTCCAGGAACCGAGGTAAGACTGACCGGCCTATAGTTCCCTGGATCATCCTTCTTCCCTTTTTTTGAAGATGGGCACTACATTTGCCTTTTTCCAGTCATCCGGGATTTTTCCCGATCTCCACAACTTTTCAAAGATAATAGCCAATTTGCTTGAACCTGGCTTTTCTTCTATATTTTCTGAGTAGTATTACAGCTGATCTAACATAACTGCTTCCCATTTATATAGTGTTTGTCTGAAACTGCAAACTAGTACACTCAGCTTAAAAACACCACCGGCAACTCAGTCAAAAACTTTAGGGAAAAAAAATCTATTTTGCATGCACCACCTGTAGGGGTTTCTAAATTTTGTACAAGACACAAAGTATTCTTTATGGCCTATGTCTCTTCATGCAATAGCTCAGAGCAGAAGCTTACCTCCAAAGACTTCCCAGAGTTTAACTCTCCGATCCATGCCTCCTGTTGCTAGTAACCGAGAACCAGGACTGAACTGAACTGCATTTACCTCGCCATCATGTGCGTCCTGGACAAGGGAGAGCAAACAGACAGACAATCACAGTCACCCCCAATGGCATCAGCACAGACTAAACAGAACTGTCAGTCTGTAGTACTATACGAGCTTGCTGAAGTGTAGGACGCATACAACTGTGATCTAGCCCAAATGTGATCCTCTTTCATATGCAGAAGACCCACACTAATATAGGTTTTGCTAATTTTATTGAAACGAATCAGAATATGACAAGAGCTCATCTGGATTATCCAGGTGGTCATCTGGATTATCCAGGTGGTAGAATGTGTAAAGGGAATGATTTCTTTTGCCACCCCAGCAGCAATCACATCTATTATATGACCATTCAAAACTGGTTCACAAGAGTTTGCGCCTGTATTTCCCCATCTATAAAACGAGTAACGTAGAGTTGCCTTGCACAGATGCAGATTCAAAAATGGCCTCCTCATTCCATAAGGCATCCAAGAGGTCTCAGCTTGAAAACTTGAGATCACGCACACCACAAATCAAGACATCCCAAAACCCTAAACTCCTTCATTGGTTCTGTTGGATGACATTCAGTGCCATGCTTCCTTACACTGTAAATAGCAGGCACTGAGCTTATCCTGATTGTCAGCAGCCTCTCCCCCAATCACAGCATTGCTATAGCGTGATGGGACAGAGAGACTGTTGGGAGCTGAAAGGGTAATGGGAGTGTGATTCTCTTGTGCACTCAGACCTTTTACTATTCATCATTGACCTCAGCAAGATGCACATTCACTATGACCACAAAAGAAGGAACATTAAGAGCACGATGGATGCATGCATCTGAGTGAATTTTTGTTTTAGATATCTAGGCTGAGTGTGAAGTCAATACAGATCAAACGGACCTAACTGCCTTGCCAATTCAAGAGTCATCTTCTAGATTTAAAACAGGCATCTCAAACTCAGTTTACCTTAGGGCCAGTGCCAGTCCTCAAATCCTCCTAGTGGGCCAGCAGGCATCGTCCCTCCCCTTCGGCAGGGCTCCAGGGGAACGGGGGTGTCTTTGTGCTTCTCCCCCAACACGTCTCTCAGCTCCTCTTGCTAGCTTGCACACTCCTTTCACTCCCACATTTCTTGGCCCTGCCTACTGTCCCAAGGCAATTAAAAACCCGCTGGGGGCTCCCACCACCACCAGCAGTGCAGCAAGGCAGGAGCGGCTTCCTGCTCTAGCACCATATTGCTGCCGGCAAGTCCCTCTGGCCTGGGGCAGGTGAGTGCAGAGCTGTCCCATCCACAGGTGTAAGCTGTGAAACCATTCATTTTGTGAAACTGACTAGATATCAGTGATGCCAACTCTCCTTATCTGATCACAAGCCTCCTGATAATTTTTTTTTCTTTCCTGGAAAGCTCCAGCCATGTTATTAAGCCATATCTGGGAACTTCACTACCTGATGCCTCATGCACTGTTATCGATTGTTTTCTCTCTGACTTAGGAGATTATGCTTGTTTGTTGGTGCCTGGTATTAGAAGAGAATTTCAGCCCTCTTTCTTTTCAAGGAAGACTTTAGTTCTCATGGGCTGAGGAGAAAAAGCTAGAAAATGTGCCCTGAGTTCAGCCAAAACCTCAAACACCAGATGCCAAATAGAAAGATCCCCAAGTGTATTTTGATCTGTGATTTCAAGAAGCCCTTCTTTTTGAGTTTGAATGTTTGGGGTTGGCAATACAGCACACGCAAGTCCATAGTGTCTCTCCCAGTGTCCTGGAGCCCCGAGACCAGGATCCTACAAGAGACAGAAGACTGAGTCCTCACCCTAACACCCCTAGGTTCTCCTGCTGGGATGCCCCCTTCCTTCCAACACCACCCATGCCTTCACACTGGAATCCTGCCTCTCCCCCACTCCCTGCTATCATCCGCATTCTTGCACTGGGTTCCCCCCGCCCCTACTCGGGGTAGCCAAATGCAAAGCCTGCTGACTGCAGAAGCACATCATCTTGGGTGGCTCCCTGGCCAGTGTGGTTTGCATCACAGCAAGGCAGCCAGCAAGGCTTCCCAGAATGAGCGGCACCCTCTGCCACCTGGAATCGGCAGGCACTGAGGGCCTGGATGCTGCTGGAGCTGTGTGCCAGGGTGAGTCCCTGCATGCCACCCACTCTTACCTCAGGCTGGCAGCCAGGAGGGCTTGAATAACTTTTTCAAAATATTTCACAGGGTGGATTGGGGAAGTGCTTTGGCTGCAGATGGACCCTGGACCAGGAGTTTGAGACCCCTGATTTAAAACATTACCTAGAGCAGTTTAAACAAGCAGCGCCACAGTATCTGAGATAGCATCTGCTACTCAAAGGTCACATTCTCCTCCTCTTAGGGAGGAAGAGCCTGATCTCGTCGTTCCTGCTGGAGATACTTACAAAGACGTACACTGCAGTATTGGGAACTCTCACTTCTTTACTGGAACCTGGCTGTGCATCCATATTATCCTGGGGAGCAGGAAATGAGGACAGAGAGCGCCTCCTGCCATGGGTCACCAAGAAAAATACGTTACATAGAAGAGTGGACACAGTTCCACCCAAAGTAGCGCACAGAGACCTGGATGAGCCCGACTACCACTGTGGGGCGGATGAGAGAAGGGTCCAAAATCCTTCCTTTGTTTCTTTCCCCCTCCTTGCGAGACTGGTTTTATCAAATTGCATTGTATTCTTTCACGTGGCATTAATTCATGACTGCACTTATTGATTTCTTATCTAACTTAACCACAGTTTGTGTGTAACAATATCAAATTCAGCCAGCCCAATGGCTGTGCAGCCATCTTTTCTTATACTAAGGAGTCTGTCTAAACATCACGATGATTTCAGAGGGACAGACTGCAACCCCACCGCTGTGTCTAGTTCAGACTGCACTACTGTGGCTATGAGAAGATCCCAGTCAATGGGGAACACTGTTTGAAAACCCAGACCCCAACATGGTCTTAAAGAAAAACCTTCCACCTAATGCAAGACTCCAGAGTCATTAGAGAAAAGATCCCAACTAAAGTGCTGTGGTCAGCTCTTCATATTAGAAAAACAAATTTTCCACATATTGCTCCTCTCAGAAGACCTGCCTGAGTCTAACTGGACAGTTTATAGCCAGTGTTATGAGCATCTGAACCCTAATCAGGGTAGTGAAACTGAGTTTCACGTTACTTCAGTGTTACATTCACATGCTGAACTAAGAGTGGGTATTGTTTTCACCTGGCAGCATCAGAAGAGTGATGTCCCAAAAGGGAAGACTCAGACAGACTGGAGGGAAAGGTCAGAGGTCAGCACACGGCAAGATGGAAGAAACAGGAAGTTGAGAACAAAAAGAAAAAAAGCAGAAACTAGAAGAAAGGCTGACAGTAAGACATCTGTATTCCTTACATCACTGAAATTCTGATGTATGTTGAAACAAATACACAAGAAAAGATGAAGGCGTTCTAACCTACCCAAAGATATTAGTGATAGAGTCCAGAAGACCTCCAGCTGGCTGGGACAGTCGCTTACTAAAGAGGAGGGGAGGACAGGTTTAAGCCTTGTGAACAGATTGTTCAAATGAAGATCAATAAATACAGGTCACATCATAAGGCATTTGGGGAAAAAAGAGACACTCCCTCTCAGACCCAAGTGCAGGAGGGAAGATCCCTTGGGAGCAGCAGCAGCAGCACATGCAGGTTACCATTAACAACAGCTTGCAAGGTGAAGGTTAAGGACCTTATGAAACTTGAGAAAGGACTTTCTTCATTGGGTTTAAGAGACTTCACAAGCTGAACAGAGTTTCATTCATTGATCCTCATTCTCCCAATTGGTTGTTCATAAAACTCTAGCCACCTTTGCTATTTGGCAGTAGGAAATGGGCAGTTAAATCTAGGTGGGAAGGGACTGAAGCAGCTTCTCAAAAAAGTTTTAATTAAGCTCTGCAGCTCATTCCTCTTAGGTTATGGTGACATTTCAAAGGAGACCCTAAAAAGGTAAGGTAATATCTTGTGTTACTTCTGGTTGTAAGGTTGGATTCTTTCAGTGCTTCCCAGGCACTAGCTTAGCTTTAAACAGACCAAAGTAGTACACGGCAGCATATAGTAGTGCAGAATGAAGCATTTTACAAAGCTGCAGAAAACTTTAGAGCAAGCACATGATCCAATATGTATTAGCTTTGTGCATCATCAATGAGAACTGCCAATAGTTCCTACTGCTGGCCCATCTAACTGTGCAACTTCCCTTATTCTAACACCCTCCTACATGCAACAGTCTTGCTAAACTTTAGAAAGAAGCCTTCAACCTTTCAGTCTGCGTACCTGGATGTCCGGCTGATTGCTCGCACAGGAGAAGTCTCTTCAGCAGGGTCAGAAGTTTCATCTGCAAGCACTTCAATATCATCATCCCTGGAAAGTATGGGAACATGCCTCCTCCTGAATCAGCCACGAGGCCTGTTGTAGTCAACTCCCTTTGCCAAACCCCAAAGGCAGCCCTCTATTAATCTTTAATGCAAACAAGTATTCCTCCCAGATATAACTCCTTGGATTCCCATATGGGCTTACAGTTAATCAGCATACTATTACCATCTAGTTGGTAACTTACAGAGGTATGGACGCTTCATACTTAAGGCAGAGAGACAGCATCACAGAATCTAGGCATAAATACATTCCCAAATAGAAGTAATTGATACTATTTTTCCAATCTCTGCTCTCACATGACACCCTATTTACTGCTGTATGTAGTCCTGACTTCTTCCAAAGAAAAGCGTTTCCAGTGGTCTGCATTCCCTGACCAAGAGAACTATTCCACCTGCCAAAAGGACTGCATCACAGAAATTGTATTCTGTTGCGATGAGTTCAAATTCACTAAATGAACCTGTCTTAGGACTTTCAAACTTGAGTTGATATTCTTAACCACAGCAGAGCTCCCCATTCTAAAAACAAACACATACAGAAATGCATTACATATTTTGGATTTTAAACTGAGTTTGCAAGGTTGAACACTCTTCTACTACAATTACTGGAGACAGAGATGCCATTTACCCTGTCTCTATAACAGTACATTCATGCATGGTGATGAGAAGACAAGACACCTTTCACATGGAATACGAGTAACAGAACAGGCTGGTTTCCCAGACCTCAGTTTGGGTGTGTCTATTGCCTGAAATCAAGGTTACTTACTGTTCAACAGGCAGCGGTTCCTTAGCAGCTTCTGCTAGCTCTTTCTGCAGCTTGGCTTGTCGCCTCCTAGAAGGAAACCCCCACGCCCCAAGTTTATAAGCACAACGTTATAACATGTCAGCAAAAGAGCCCAGAGAGATTCTATGATGCTAACATACAGGAATCATATGCCAGAAGACAGATTCCAAGTGGAAAAATCATTACTTTAGTAATTTAAAACTAAACAAACTCCTAGAGAATTGCTAGCCTCTTAGGATGTTCCAGAATCTTTCCTGCCTTGAGTATCTAGGTTTTCCGAGAAGACAGAAGACTCTAGGACAGTGGTTCTCAAAGTTTGGTCTGTGACCATCTTGCAGGTGGGCTGTGGGTTCAGCCCCTCCTGCAGCGGGAAGCCTGCACTGGCGCTCTAGCCCCACGGCTTCCAACTGCATGTGTGGGGGAAGGGGGTTAGAAAAGAGAGCCTCGCTGGCTGGATACAGCTTGTGGAGGGAAGGAAGCGATTCCATCTGCTGCTGCACCCCTTCTTCCCTAGCTGGGGGAATGGCAGCACAAGAAACTGCTCCCCTGGATGCTTTCCCTGCTGCTTCCATTGGCTGAAATCATGGCCATGGGTGCAGTGGGGGTGGTGCCTGGGAGCAGAGGCATGGAGTTAAGTGCCACCCATCTCTTTCATGCCCAGACCTTGTACCCCCATCTCCCGATGCACCTTCCTCCTGCTGGAACCATGTACCCCATCCCGCTCATGCCCAGACCGCACTCTTACACCCAACTTCCCAGCCAGACCCCCTACAACCCACCTTGCATTCTTTTTCCTTTCCTTAGATCCTCCAACCCCAGCCCACTTCTGCCCCCTTCCTCCATCCCAGATCCACCCCCCCCGGCCTTTCCTGCACCCTAGCTGGCAGCCAGACCCCACACTCCTACCCTCTCCTGCACCCATTTTATCATCATGGCTGATTGGCTGGTGGTCCACGGAAAGGTCTACATTGAGCGGGGTGGGCCACATGCAAAAGAGTTTGAGAACCACTGCTCTAGTAAATAATGTTCATTCTAGGGCTGGTGTACTCAACCCACACTTCTACAAAATAGATTGTCAATGTCTCACCTTGAGTCCTTCTCATTCTCTGCATTGAGCCGATTGGCTTCCTGAGCCTTCTCTGCCATCCAACGTGAGACCAGCTCTTGGTTATCTTCAGTAGTTTTCCTCAGTTTCTCTTCTAGAGCAGTGAAGGTGATCTGGAGGGCATCATACTCATCCTTCAGAGTCTGATTGGCTCGCTCAAGTTCTTGCAGCTTGCTGCGCAGTTCCTGGCACTCTGTTTCCAGCTCAGAGATCTTCTGCAAGTATTCTGCAATCCTGGAAGAGCATCAGCATAAACACCACAATGAAACACTCTTTAGGGCAGAGACTATCTTTCTGGTTTGTGTGTGTCCAGTTTCCAGCACAGTAGGGTGCTGGCCCATGATTGGGATCCTAGGCACTACTGTAACACAAAACAAACCCCTGACCAAAAATCTGGTCTCAGGCCCTATAACACTGAGGAAATTACTTCTACTCACTTGGCTTCATTCATCTGCATCTCCTTGTCTTTCTGCTGCATTTGATTATTCAAATCAATCACTGACTGCGCCAACTAAGGAGGGGGAAAAAAAAAGGAATTACAAAAAAAATGGAGGAACAGCAGCCATAGATTTGCTCCCAGGCGGAATGCGTCAGCCCAACTCTAATGTATGAGTCTCTCAGAACTTCCTCTTCTTCAAAACCAGGAAACAAATCTGGACACCGTACTACATCACAGTACTACATGTAGATCAGCATACTACATCGGACGGAAGTCTACTCCCTAGGAGTAATAGTCATCACTGTTATTATCCCTTAGTGTGGTCAGGCAAACAGGCCCCTTTGGACACAGCCACATCAAACACTGCTGGTACATATTAGGAGTAAATCTTCACTTTTTTCAAATATCACCAAAACACTGAAATAAATTAGCAATTGGAAGATTCAGTTATGCAGGGAAAAGCAACTCCTTTGCACTATAACAATTAATACAGCAAGTCAATCACATGAACACGTTGCACATTCCACAACTGAGAAGCATTAAGGGATTCAAACATATTAGAAGTTAAAATCTGACAATAGAAAAGACAATGAGACAGAACTGGAATCCACTGTATTTAGACAATTACAGCAGAGAGAGGGCCACAAGTAAGCCACACAGCACACGAAAGAGGACTCTTACCTCACCACGCTTCTTATGCAGCTCTGTCAGCTCCTCTTGATGTTTAATTCTCATCTGGGCCATTTCTTGCAATTGAGCTTCATTCCTAGTGCCATCATGTCCTGGACTGGAATTTTAGAGGAGAGATTTCACAAGCTAGAAGCTAATTGCTTCTCAGCCTCTACCTAGTTAGCCTCATAACAGCCTCTCCTGCAATTTTAAATTCGTGTAACTACATTCAGACATTGTGGCAGAATTAAAACCCTCCAGGCACACACCCACTAGTTATTACAAAGGAAGTCTTATGCACATGTGTACATTAGGCAGAATTAAAACCCTCCAGGCAAACACCCACTAGTTATCACAAAAGGAAGTCTTATGCACATGTGTACATTCTTCATTGTTTGTCTATATATATCACTATCCCACATTACAATTGCCAGTCAGGCTTGAAATTTAAAACATCATATGAATACATCCTATAACCACCCTCTTGGAAATCCCCATCAAGAAATCTACAATACTAAAAAAACCTGAGATACTAGCATCTTAGAAGAAGGGATTTGCTTCTCTACACCGACGCTGCCTTCCTTGCGTGAGCAAACGTGACTTAACTCCCTTCAACTATAGATCTTAAAGACAGACGTTGTTCTTTTGGACAAGAGGAATACTCACATACTACTCCATAATCCTCGGTTCAGACTTTGCAGTTTGCTTCTTACATTTTCTGTGTCTCTCATGAGGCTGGGTATGGAGGAGTTCATTCCTGACCTAAAATTCACCTTTTCCTTTCATGTTGTTGTACTCATCCCTGGTATGACTTTTTCCCTTTCAATGGTTGGCCTTCAAATACACAATCATTTCTACTCACACCCTGACACCATTTCCCTAGCTGCCCTTCAAGTCTTCTTGCACCTCCTGAACTTGTTCTCCCCATCACAGCTCACAAGACTTGCCACTGCCTGCTTCTCACATCATCTTTGTACTCAGAGAATTCCACTGACTCTCACATGAGGCTTGAAGTTATACAAGAAAACCTTCCTCTTTGGACCTACTCCTCATGGACCTGGTCTTCTATCCCCTCCTCTTGCCTTGCAGCCCAGTAGGGTGCTCAGACAGTCTGCCTGCCTTCCAAGGTCCCAGTCATGCTGCTCCCAAAAGCGCATCTACGTGCATTGAGCTCCACCGTCTTTAGCACCATCTCACAGTTCCCAGAAAATGGCCAATGGTGGTGCTTACAGGCACACGCAGTCACCCCCCATTTTCCCCCAAGAAGCATATAGAGGCACATTTGTCAGCAGCAGCCAGCATTTTTGAGCAAGGTAGGGCTACCATGACGTGCACTCCAATCTCCTGTCCATGGCCAGAACCCCCTTGTGTACCTAGACTATGGGTTCCCAAACTGGTGGGGCATGAAGAAATTCTAGGGGGGTGCAAGGCAACCCAGCACTCTGCCCCCAACAATTCCTCCCCCCCCAAGTTTTGTGCTATTTTTGTTTTTTGGCCCCTAACCCAGCACTCCCCCCCCAACAATTCTCCCCCCCCCCCAAGTTTTGTGCTATTTTTGTTTTTTGGCCCCTGTCAGTTCCTTTTTTATTCTCTCAACAAGTTTTGCTGCTATGGGGGGTGAGGGGTGGTGGAGGAAGCGTGAGGGTCTCAAAAATCAAAAAGGGGGCATGATGCTGAAAAGTTTGGGAACCACTGATGTAGACTCTCCGTGACCATGTACCCTGCCCAGAGCTCCCTCCTGCACTCAAATGCTATCCCAGACCCCACACTTTAATATAACAGAAAAATATAGCTCGTGACCACTTACCAAAATCCTTGTATTGGCCCCCTGCAAAATGTATTGCCCACCCTTGTTATGGTAACTAGTTGCATATACATGATGATTTGATGAATGAGAAACATCATATACCAAATATCTGGAATATTCATCTACTCTTGATTCAAGAAAAATTCCAAGTACCTGATCTCATGTCTGCTTTGCAAATCATACTTTTCTGCGTTTATCTTGTCGGCCAGCACAGCATGGAGATCAGTCTTCTCTAGTAGCTTGTTATCTAACAAGGCAAGAAAATGCAATTAAAGAAATGGGGAACAAAAGCAGCTCTCTCTGCTTATAAGATTTCAGGACATTGTAATTATTCTTCTACCACCTCATCATGACACTATGTCACACTGACACACACAAAGTTTTGACTTTGACAGACTGTGGTTTTATTCCTAGTCAGACTTACCGTATTTTCCGGCATATAAGGCGACTGGGCGTATAAGACGACCCCCTAATTTTCTAGTTAAAAGATAGGTTTTCGTCTTATACTTGCCGTATAAGACTACCCCCCCTTAAGAGGCCAACCGGCAGCGCCCCAGCGCCCCTCCGCCTCCCCGGCTTTGCTCCCGGTGTCCCTGGTCTGCTGGAGACGGTCCCCAGCAAACCAGGGGCACCAGGAGCAAAGCCGAAGCGGCGGCGGGGTGCCGCGCTTCTGAGGCGTTGCTCTGGCAAAGCCTCAGAGCCGTGGGGCCCTGCCGCTGCTGTGGGCTTTCTCC